ACTATTTTGGAACATGGATATGTCATATCTTCGCAGAATGTCTACAATGCTTAAAAGACTAGAGTACATGAAAATACATTTAAACAACAACTATAATAAGTATCCTTCATCCTTCTTCAAGTGTTTAGAAAACACTTCAGTATTTTGCCACATCTTCTGGTCATCATTAGGGAAAGATGAGATGGCGTCTGTGACTGTGAGAGACACAGACTACAGAGCTGTCAAAGGAGGAGAGATGTCAATGTTTGGCAGCCAGCAGAGAAACTTGGCATGGCATTTGTTTCTCCTACAGAATTATAGTAATTTTTTATTTAAAAAGGTGCTGAGAATAAAATGATAGCTTTAACAGAATGCCACACAACTAAATAAATAATGCTGTGCTGTAATCACACATCCCATCTGCTTTCCTGTGAGAAACTCACAATCAGTCACCGACAAGCTGGCTGTGAAATTATAATGTCACGCTCTGCACAAAATAAATGATAAAACCAATTATTTACAAAAAGAATGAAAGAAGGGGGAACCATTTTGGCTAAGCTTGAATTTTAAGCCCAGTCTATTAGAGAAGCCATCGATTTATAGGGATACTTTTATATGTCTGAAGAAAATAAGACTATCCAGGGTAAGGTTGTCTAACAGAACTTGGACGATGGTATTGCTGAACTATGTCTCTGATCGGTAGTCACAGCCTCATGTGACACTTCAGCACTTGAAGTATAACTAATGTGACTGAGGAACTTAATTTTTAATTTTTTTAATTGTTAATTTTAATTAGCATAATTTTATTACATAATTTAAGTTTAAATGTAAATAATTACATGTGGCTAGTGATTACTGGATAGAACAAGTCTAAAAAGAATACAAAATTACAAAGTTGAACTCAATGAAAAGTAGATAAATCGTGACAAGTGAATGATTTTTATGGTGCTGGTAAGTGCAAATAAAAAGCCTTTTTTTTTTTTTTTTTTGGAAAGTGTTAACCACATCAGTGGTCTCGGATCACATGGAATCAATTACAAAGGAAAAGAAAAACAGATACAAAAGGAAGTGTGAACTTTCAGTAAGACTAAGTAGATTTTAAGTCTGCTAAAAAGCGTAAAGGTTAAAATGAAAACAGCTAATTTGTTTGGCCTCTAGTTTGCTTTACAACATGATTCAAGGTAACAAACATTTAGTGCAAAGGGAGCAAGATGATAATTACACAGTTTCATATATGTGCATATTAATGAATTTATATTATATTTCTTACTCATGCTGGCTTGGTTTATCTGTGATGAAGGAAAATAAGTCAAAATGAGGCTTCATTTCTAGAAAACAGTCTGAGGCAGTCTCTGACAGAATGTTTAAGATCGAATTCTGAGGTTGATGAAGAAGCTTGAGGAAAAACAAGCCCCAGGAGACATCCCAGTCTTCCAAAGAACTGGGTTTGGTTGCCCAGATGAGGGAACAGGTTTTACTATTGTATGTTGCTCCGATTCAATACTCACCAAGCTTAGCTTCCCCAGAAACAATTAACTATGGGGAGAAGGTGCTGACCCCTTAACATAAATATTCAGTTGCTACTTAATCACTGATACTCTGATTAGAGCAAGGTCACATTCTCTTTCAAGTTTAGGTGCTGTGATTTGTCCACTGAAGCTCAGTTGCCCCTGAAGTATTAAGATAATATAACGCCCATGCTCGTAAACGCAAAGACCTGACCGCTAATCATGATGGCCCTGCACCAGGCCTCCTGGGACTTGAAGGCCAACTGGTCTTCCACAGCTGATCACTTGTCTCCTTTGATGGTTCAAACAACTTCTACAGTCCTATGGGATAATGAACAGTACCCTCAACTATGTTATTAGCATTTATTCAGCTCTTAACTAGTGCCAGGCACTGTTCTGAACATCTTACGTTGATATAACCTTGCCTCTATGAGTAGATATTAAGTGGATGTCCTGTGAAGTGGATATCACTGCATCCTCACAGAGGTAGACAGAAGTTGGGAAACTTGCCCCAGGTCATGGATGGTGGATGACGGAGTGAGGGTTTAGAGAGTTTAATTCCAGAACCTTACTTTTAGCTGCTAAAGATCTTGCCTTATAATAAGTATTTCCCACTAAGGCAATTTCTATTAGTAATTATTTTATGCAATCATTCTACAATAAATCTGCCATGTATTATAGCATTATTAACAGCCTTTCAACCACGCACGGGGGAGCAGAATATACTAGTAGTTGTATTGTTTATTTAATCCACATCTTCCAACATCTAGGCATCTTCTTAGCTAGTGTTCCCTTTTATGAGAAGGAACAGAGATCAATAAACCATATATGCACATATTATTGTATGTTTTGTCAAGAAGAATATTAAGAAAAGCAAAAGGAGTTTTTTTCTTTTAAACATATCACTAAGCACTTTTACCCATTTTAACTAGTAGTTGAAAGACTAGTGAAAATAAAATTTGCTGACATTGCACTAGAATGTTCATGGCTACACATTTATAACACCCTAAATGAGAAACTACTAAAAATGCCTATCAATGCTAGAATAAATAGGTAAATTGAGGTATAGTCATACAATGAGATGTCATATAACAATAAAGGAAAAAAATCACAATTATATGCAATAGAATAGATAAATCACAAAAATGCACTATTAAGCAGAAGTCAGACAAAAGAGAATATACTTTATAGTTCCATTTATATATTTCAAATACAGGTCACACTATTCTATAATTGTTAGAGTCATTGGTGGGCATGTGGGATTTCTGGGACACTGGTCATATTTTGCTTTGTTTTTATCTGGGTGCAGGTTACATATGTGTGTTCATTGTGTAAAAATTAATTGAACTGTATCTGTGCACTTTTCTGTACGTATATTATGCTTCAATAAAAAGCTTAAAATTGGGGAAAGAAAGAATATATTTGGAAACAATGATTTTAGGAAATCTATAAAAAAGCAAAACATTAGTTGACACAGAAAGTTTATTTTCTCAGGCAGTTATGTATCTCTCTTGTATTTTATTTTTTTCCAATATATTTTATTGATTTTTTTTTTTTACAGAGAGGGATAGAGAGTTAGAAACATTGACCAGCTGCCTCCTGCACAGCCTCTACCGGGGATGTGCCCACAATCAAGGTACATGCCCATGGCTAGAATCAAACCTGGGACCTTCCAGTCCGCAGGCTGACGCTCTATCCACTGAGCCAAACCGGTTTCAGCAGTATCTCTCTTTTAAAAGTGGTTTTCATTTATAACTTGTACATCAAACCTTGCCTAGACTTTGAAGAAGAATGCTTTGTAACAAATTCCAAGTTCAGATGCCTTACATTGTAGTATTAAAGTATTAGAATTTACAAGACAGAAGCATAGTTAAATATTTTAATATTAATCTATCAACTTTTTAGCATAAAGTCAGAGTAGGGGAAAGACGGAAGGACCCCAGGGCAATCGGTAGTCAGGGACCATTGGTAATTGCTGCACATGCCTCTGGCTGCCCAAGGCTTTTGTGAACTTAGAAAGCAAGAGCTAGATTTCTGTTAAAGCTAGGGTTGGAATGATTTCTCAAGTCTTGATACCCAAGGATTAGGATACAGAGAATAATATTAGAAATACATGATAAAATTACAGAAAGCGTCTTAGACTAATAGATCCATTAATAGTCCCTTAATTCTCATTTTAATCCAACGTGTTTGTCATTAAGTACTATGTTCATGAGTTCACTTTCTAGTAATAAAATGTCAATAATACTCTTTTGCAGCAAAAGGAGAGGTAATGAAAACTTAGAATGTAATGACAACTAAGAGAATTTGTTATGTTTTAAGAGTATGTTCAAAGGAGAGCAGCCACATTGATGAAAATACATCAGGAGAACACAATGCAAAGTTTTCTTAAACCTGGGCAGATAGGTGCTGCCATAGCCTCTGTTCCCAACGGTACTGAAGTGTGTGTGTGTGTGTGTGTGTGTGTGTGTGTGTGTGTGTGTGTGTCAGAGTCTAAAGGATTCCCATGATTTAAATCTTATTAGTAATAGCTATGTGCCAGATAATGAGAACTTTATATGTTTTATTTCATTTTAATTCATACAACAACTGAAATGAGTTGGTTGTTACAATTCTCATTGAAGAGATAAATAAAAACTGAAGTAACTTGTCCAAATTTCATAATTTCATAACACACACACACACACACACACACACACACACACACACCATTTGTAAGAGGCAGAACAGGGACCAAGCTTTCATTTGTAATTGGAGCTTAATGCTCCAATGCACTAAATTCAGTTTCTTTCAAACTATAAAATGCTGTAAATTGACTATACATGCTTATTTTTTTCCATTTGTTTTATTTGAAGAAAATCATACCAAGTAACTTTCAAAACAAATTTCTAAACTAAAAATTGTCCAGGGTCACTTTCTATTTTAAACACCATTTTTCAGTAATCCAAAAAATGTGAAGAGAGAAGATAAAAACATGCTTTTAAAAGACAGAAAAAGGGCTTTGTGTTATAAGGAATGCATTACATAAGCATTTGGAATAGAAATTGATGATGAATCCAGACTTCTCTCTCCACAGAATTGAAAAATACAAATCTTCTGACATCCAAAAGGTCATCTTCTGACAACCTTATATACAAATATAATAGCTATAGCATAATTCCCAGTTAATTATGAAAATTCACTTGGATAATTAAGATTAATGAGAGACTGGCAAATGTAAAGTATTTAAAAGAACAAACCAAAACTATTTATTCATTAACTTGGCTTATCAAGATGCCATCCACACACTAAAAGCTAATAATTACTCTTTAATTGTGCTAATTAGGTAATGACAATGCTATAAATGTTTGTTTATATAATATTAGATTTCTCTGACTAATCTTATCATTAGTCAGACTTTGGACTTCTGCCACCATGTATGCATGTATATACTGGTACATGCCAAACTGTTTGAATAATTTATTTTTAAAACTGGTTGTTGACGTGCTACTAGAATACAAATCAGAAACTTACCACATCCTTAGGAGGGGGTTCTACTTCCTTCTTTATCTTCTTACCCATTCTGGGAAAAGATGCAGTAAATGGTTAAAGTGTCATTTACATATTATATATGTACAAATTTCTCAGTTATCTATATCTTTATGAGATCTATTTCCTTTACATTTTACCTAAAAAGAGACTATGAGATACATGTAGAAATTACTGCAGATTGTACAAATATGTTACCTACATTCCTATTCAAACCATGATTTTGAAGGAACTGATGGATAAGACTTTTGGGAATTAGTCCTGGCTCCCAGTTTGGAAAGAAAGAGAATATAGTAGTGACATAACTTTCACTCTTTAGTTTACCATGTAGGGCTTGGGAGACAAACTCCAAGTTACTTTTGAGATCTGCAAGCATGTTTGCCACAAAAGGAGGGAATTTGTCTGCTTTCTTGCATTGATCTATCCCAAGCATCTTGAAGAGTGCCTGGCACATAGTAGACATTCAGCATTTATAAAAATAATTAACTCTATTTTCCTGGGAGTAATGGTTTTGTGAATTGTATCCAAGATCTATCAATTCCAGATGAACGTTTGTGTCATTTTCCCAAATAACAAAATTGTATCTGATGTAATCTAAATAAAAACTAATTGAGAATCTAAAGAAATGCATTCTTAGGAAACAGGGATTACTCCTTGTAAAACACTTTCCTACCTGCCCTCATGTGTCCATGCCTGTGTGGAAAAAGTTTAGGATTAACTCCACCTGAGTACAGAAAACTTTTCACGATGTTGGTGATTGTTAGAACAACCCTAGAAATTTTTCAAATTTTCTCCAATGGGAGTTTGTGGGATTATACTTAGCAGTAGGTAATCTCTCTCAGAGGATATATTCTAGTTTTAAGAAAATGACCTACAGTCTCAAAAGAAATTCTGAGAAATAGAAAATCCTTGGAGAGAATCTACAATGTCAGTGTAAGTTCAAATGGCTTATCAAGGAAGAAAAGCAGCTGCTAGCATGAGAGACACTGACCAGAATTTATCACATATGTTAAAACCCACATGTTCCTACAAATTCATAGGGACTTTTGAAAGACATCTACTTCAAGTCCCTAACTTCAGTTCATATAAATTTCAAGATCTTTGATGGCCTGGACAAGCTTACTCCGTGATGCACTTCCTCACACTATATCCAATATATTAAAATGTTAAAATATACCCCCATCCCCCATCCTATATAATAAAAGGCTAATATGCAAATAGACTGAATGGCAGAACAACTGAACAACCAATCACTATGATTTATGCTGACCACCAGGGGGTGCGCGCAGAACATGGTGGGCATTGGCAGCAGGCTGCAGAGTGCAGAACATGGTGGGTGGCAGCCACAGTGGGATGGTGGAGCAGGTGAGTGGGGCTCCACGCCAAGGTGGGGCACGAGTTGCTGTCATCAGGGTCAGCCTCTGGTGGTTACTGAAAATTCTTTGTTCCTGGGCACTATGGTCCCGCCTGATGCTTGCACCTGCAGCCAGCATCACACCCGCTGCCAGCACCTAGCACTGGTCCCAATCACTTGGTGCCATCAGTGGGTGTGAGCCGTGGCTGCCAGCCCTGATCACCTGTGAGAGCTTCTTTACCTCCCCCTGCTCCTAAGGGGTGATCAGGACAGCAGCTGCTGCTCACACCCACTACTGATGCTGGCTCCAATCACTCAGCATCGTCAATATGTGCGAGGGGGGCCACCGCCAGTGCATGGGAGTGGCAGCAGTAGGAACGGGGCTGCTGGTAGGCAGGGGACTGAGGCTGCATTGGAGGGGTTGAGCAGGGGTGTGGAGGATGGGCTGAGACCTGCCCCTGTGCCCACTGCAGCCTCGTGGCCCACAGTTCTTTTCAAGGTGCACGAATTTGTGCACTGGGCCCCTACTTATATACTGTATAATATTCATTATTAACGGTTTTAAAATTTTGAAGTTGAAATCACTCAGCAATCAGTTTGTGCACTTGAAAATTGTTGCAAAATAAGGAAGTTATTTTAAAATGTAGTCAAAATTTAATATTAATGTAAAACATTTAATTTAAAATTAAATTTTCCCTTGTCTTCATATTTTAGACCCATTTTCCCCCCCACATCTCAAACCTCTTTCATTGATGTTTTAAAACACAGGCTCTAGACTTGTGCCTAAAATGTTTTGTGAAACTGCTCTGGATAAATCAAAATCTATCCAATTATTAACCTCTAGAAAAATGGATTTCATAGCTCTTTATAATAAATTCTGAAATAGTGGCTTTTTGACTGTTATTTTAAATGACACATGCTGATTCTAAAATTTAACAGAATAATTCGTTATGAAAATTTGAGAAGCAATTAAGTTATGCCAGCATAAAGTTGCTTTAAGTCATCTGAGTTCCATTCAGGAACTTATATTTCCTACTTCAGGTTTTGAGTAATTGTATGTTGAAGAATACAGAGGCTGGGAGAGCTTAAACATATAGGATTACAGTGAGGAAGCTGTTATAAAGTAGGAAATGTTTAGTTTGTGTTTTTATTACTATATTGTATGTAATAGTTAATGGGGAGAATGTATAAAGCTGACATAGGCCACAGATAAGGAGCCTCAGAGATGATCCTAAGTTTTTTGGTGTTTTTTTTTAAACTTTGTAAACTTATTTCACTTAAAATCAATATGATACAATTAAATTATCTTACTTTATTCTTTTAAGATTTGTTTTCCTTTAAAGCTATAGAGGTGTTGAATTAAGAGAAATAAATCCGCCGAAACCAGTTTGGCTCAGTGGTGGAGCGTCGGTCTGCGGACTGAAGGGTCCCAGGTTCGATTCCGGTCAGGGGCATGTATGTTGGTTGCGGGCACATCCCCGGTGGGGGGTGTGCAGGAGGCAGCTGGTCGATGTTTCTCTCTCATCGACGTTTCTAGCTCTCTATCTCTCTCCCTTCCTCTCTGTAAAAAATCAATAAAATATATATTTTTTCAAAAAGAAAAATAAATCCCTTTGACTTTTTGAAGCAAACTAAACCTGTTTCCCTTGACTATTTTACCACCTGCCCATTGATTTATTTTATTGTACTAAAACATACATAAAATTTACCATTTTAACTGTTTTTTAGTGTACCACTTATAAAGGCAATACATTTCACTATAGAGAATTTGTAAAACCAAGAAGGCCACATGGAATAAACTAAAAATCACTCATAAATAAGCTCTGTGAGTTAACACTATTTTAATATAGTTCTTTTTGTGTGTGTGTTTTCTACAGTGATTCTACCATCCTACTTGGATTTCTGTCCCCTATTGTCAACTTCCTTTCCTGGGACCATTTCATACTAAATTCTTAAATTAATGAACAGGTTTTGAAACCTCTGCCTCAATTTATTGCTCCAATTATATCCAATGAATCAGCATGTGTCATTTAAAATAATAGTCAAAAAGCCACTATAAATCTAGCCAGGCTCCTACTATTGAGCATTTGTTTCCAATTTTATCTGACTATGGGCAAGGCAGCAATGAACTTTAGACATAAATAAATGCATCCTTAGACATACAATTTTCATCTACATCCTCAGCTGTTTCTTTAGAATAAATCCCTAGCTGCAGAAGAACTAGATGAAAGTTTATGAACCTCATACTCAATGCGTTGGGTATGAAAACAAGTTGGCTTTAATTTTGCAGCTGCTTTATTTTATTTTATTATTATTATTTTTTTAGTTTATTGATCATTCACATCTCTCCTTCTTGAACTTTCAAGTCCAGGCGATCTTAAATATTTTCCAATGGGGAGGTTTATTTTGAGAAGACTTAAAGGAGAGGGAGAGGGCTAAAGCAAGTGGAGACCCACTCCCCGAGTCAAGTAACGGAATCTGAACCCCTCAGATCTCTTCTCGGGGTCTCAGTTTTGTTGTCTGTTACAGGAGAGGTGACCAGATGCTTATGAACCCCACTCCTATCCCAGCCTAACACTGTGGGCGTAGACGAGGGACCGACCACCCTTCACAAAGGGTTCCCTTGGTTGTCCCTGATGTCCCCACCTGCTCCGGACCCCAAGTTTTGCTGGGCCTTCCTTCTGCCCTGGGCCTCTCCAAACCGCGCGGAAGCCGTGCTGCCGCCCCCTCCCTTTACCTGCCGGGAGATCCCCGCGAGCAACTGCTCCCTAGACTCCGCGAACAGCACCCTCCAAGGCTACTCCCAGTCCAAGGTTGTCCCCGGTTGCTAGGCGACGCCGGGCGGCGCCTGCGCAGCGGGAACCCAGGTCCAGTCTGGGGAGCGCGCTCCGCGGTCCTGCGCTCCCTTCAGCCCCGGTAAGAGGGCCGCTACCTGGGGGGCCACGCTCGCTCTCAGTCTCCAGCGTCCCTTGTTTGGGGACAGGATAGACACTGGGATCCTCCTCTTTGTAGTTGCCAAGTGCCCGAGGATGTAGAAAGCTGTACATGGGGCCGCGGTGCAGCCGCCAATGCTGCCGAAGCACTGGCTATGGGTGCACCTGGGCCGAGGTGGGAATCCTTGCGCAGAGCCTACCCATCGCTGCGTCCTGCCAGGTCCTCACTGAGCTGCCGACCCGCACTGCCAGCTCCCCAGCACCGAGCATCCAGTCTTTCCTCTCAGAACTCACCCGTCCCTTCGAAACTCTCATTTCTTTCCTCTTCCTGCATTCCTCCCAAAGGGCTAAGACAAGAACCGCTTGTCTTCATCCTCTTCCGCTGCCAACTCCAATCAGCAGCTGAGTTCATGAGCCATCTCTGTGTTGGCCCCTAGTTTGCCCCCTCGCTCCATACTATCACCCCAATCCAGGGCCTCCTAACTGATAACTGCTTTCTCTCTCCTTCCAGGTCTTTCTGCATACCGCAGACAGATCAACTTCCAGAAATCATTGCTTTAGACGTGTCCCTCTCCTACTCAAAGCTCACTGGCTTCCCAAAATAGTCTACACTCATTAACCTGGTGTTTGATATTGGTGGACCTTGAGTACTACACCCCTAGAACTTCAGCCTCTCCTTTGCTTTCAGGCCTTTGCCCTTCTGTGTATGTGAACTCTCTTCTATGCCTTATGCAAACAATAATAAA